TCGGCGCCCTGAGGGCCGCGCGTCGCTGCCTCCGCAGTACGAGAACCCCTGGACCGTGCCCAACGTGCTGTCCATGGCGCGCATGGGGCTGGCGCCCGTCCTGGGCTACCTCATCGTGGAGGAGAACTTCAACGTGGCGCTCGGCGTCTTCGTCCTGGCCGGCGTCACCGACTTGGTGGGTGTGCGGGTGCGCGGGGGCACCGCGGCCCCGCCGCGAGGCTCCCCTGGGCGCTCGCCCACGTTTAGGTTCGGCTAACGGGGCCCAGCGACGCTGCAGCTGTAAAAGCAGAGCGGTCCTTGTGCTTCCCCATCCCCAGAAACACGCCTGGACCCTCCGGGACGGAGCCAAGCAGCTCCTGGGCACCTAACGGGGCTGTGGGGAGCGGAGCAAAGGGGTGTCCGGGGTCCCCATGTGTCCCCAAGCGGGCCATTGTGCCCATGAACAGCCTGTGCCCTTGTCGTCACCTCGCGGGTGCACCCAAAACGGCGCCGATTCGCACGGGTTTCGGTGCGTGTCTTGAAATGGCACTTGCCATTCTTTAATACTGAAGATTGAATGTGTGTAGAGGCTGCCAGGATGCGGTGTGGAAACATGCTAACACATACCATATTTCATCACAGTACAGTTAAACTAACTGTGTTAAGTAATGCCATTCATCAGATGTCTTTGCAGTAGTAGCATATAGAAACTACCACTATTTTTAGCCTTCTAACAGGTAAATGTCAAACTTTTTCTGTTTAGTTGGATGGGTTCATTGCCCGGAATTGGGCTAACCAGAAGTCCGCCTTGGGAAGTGCTCTCGATCCTCTGGCTGACAAAATTCTCATCAGTGTGCTCTACGTGAGCTTAACTTGTGCAAATCTTATCCCAGGTGAGAAAAAGTCATTACTTGCAGGTATCGCGTAAAGTAACGATGTGACATTTAGGTGTACTAATATTTCTCATTTTATATGTACGGAAAATGGCTGTAAGGCAGAACTCTTACTTTGTCGGGTAGGTTTCATTTTGCTTTTTGCCTCTATTAAATACTTAAAAAATTACCTTCCCCCTCAAAACAACCAACCAGCCAACCAAAAAGCATTGCTGTAAGCTTCAGATGTGATTTTCAAAAATCAGAATAGTCTTAAAATTTCAGGTGAAACCCTTTCAGAAATCATCTTAAATACCATCACTCATGCATAAAATCTCCCCAATAAGTAGAGAGTGATTATTATTATTCTTTTTTTAATTATTATTATTTTATTTTGGATGTGTGTTTTCACCAAATGCCGTTGGCTTGTGTTTTTTCTTCAGTTTCACTTACTTCCATGATTATTCTGAGGGATGTAGCGCTCATTGCTGCTGTTTTCTATGTGCGATACAAAACTCTTTCTCCACCGGTAAGTGTGTAGCATTAAACAAAATTACACAGACGTGAAAATCAAGTTCTTTCGATTAAATCTTCCGTGTTTTTATGTGTATGTATAGAACTAATAAGAAGCACCATTTAACAAAATTGGAGGCAAGAGATTTTCCTCCTGAGGTTTGATAGTTGCTCAAAACTTAGATGGATGCTATCAGATAAAACATTGTTCTTGTTCTCATGCAAATAGTTTAATAGCAGAGTAGTATTTTGTAGAGCAGGTTTGATAATGATGATGATACAGAGTTACTGGGTGTTTTCTGTATGTGGTATCTGACAGATCATGTTAGAGCAGTAGCAATATAATTCTTTAGTGTTATTGACTTTTGTATTATATGAAGATGTATCTCAAATATACTAGCACTGCCTTTTTTTTCCTCCCCCAACAGCGAACATTCAGCAGGTATTTTAACCCCTGTTATGCTACTGCCCAATTAAAACCAACATTCATTAGCAAGGTAAGAGTAACAACTAATTACACAAGATAATTGCTCAGTGTGCTTGAGGTGATGTGCTGTTTGGGTAGGGGTTTTTTTAACTACTAGGAAATGTTTTTATTTTGCTGAGTCGTTTTCAAACTATTGCCAACTAAAGGCAACTTAAATTCTGAAAGAGCTTCAGTCTGCACTGAAAGAGCACGTGCTAATGTTAAGTAGGCAAGATGTGTCACTAGAAACGCTTTTTTTTTCTGTATATGAATTGATGCTTAGATAAGTAAAGTATGTGTTGGTATTCACTGCCTGATACACTTTGTTTTGGTCATAATTCTATTTTTGTTTTTATCAGATGAACAC